ATTTATTATTGACAGCTTTATCAATATGATCTATGAAATAGTTAACATATTTTTTAGTTTAAAATAATTTGCTTCAATTCAATGAAATATTTCAGTTTTTTTTTAATAATCTTTTCGATTTTTGACGTTTCTGTTTCATTCAAGAATTAAATTTTGACTTCTAAATTAAGGACGTCGATGTGAAGTGTGGGTATGATTGCAATCCCGTGTCCTATCGCCAACACCCTAGCAGATTCTATATGAGTTTTCATTAAAGTTTTATACAAAACTCAGCATAATGCTGCTCAGACCTTATTGGAAAAAGAATAAATTTTTACTAGAGATGTTAAAGATTGTTGTAATGCATGGGGTTAGAAATTGTATTGCACGACCAACGTAGTTGAGAAACCATGAGAAATATTGAACTACTTAGTTTCTCAAGAACCACATCATGTGGTGATATATTGAAATATTTATCAGCTATCTACTATCTATTCATACATTTTGTCTTTGATTATAATGATAAAATTAAAATGGAAAAATTTGCCACAATTCTATAGATTCAATCAAATTAAAGTCACTATGAAAATCCGTTCTGTAAAAGAGTGCCGTATGCTGAGTTTTACGTCTCATCGTCAAATACGCATCCTAAATTCACGCAGTGCATTGTAGATGGGCATGCATTTTTCGATGAGCTCCTTCACATCGTCAGGAAGAACAATATCATCAGTATTGTTTGTGGTTTTCTGAACCTGATTGAAGCCTTTGCTATATTGTGCACTGTCATGCCAGCCTGGCCATTTGTCGAACGCCATAACCCGTTCCGATTTCCACTCGAGCATGGTTGGTTCAAATCGATCCTGAATAGCTGATTCGCAGTACATTTGCATCATAGCTTTAGGTTCTGCAAGGAGTTCGCTTGCTTCGATTAAAGGTGGACGAACACCGGTAAGCTCGGTAAGAAATTCGTATAATGCCTGCAGCTCCACATAACCTATGTCCTCACGCATGAATCTCTGATTGTTTGCAACAAATGTACTGTACGATGAGGTTAAAGCCTTTCCTGGCTCACGAAGAATAAAAGTATGTGTGCACCTCTTGAGAAATTCAATAGGAAGCATTGTTGGATTTTCTGGATGTGACCTGTAGTCAGGTGGTAAAACATGGCGTGCCATATCCTTGACAAAAACCTTCTTATTTTCTTTGCCTGTGGCGGCATTAAGTATTTGCTCGATTATCTGTGAGTAAGTTATATTGAGGTACTCTGCATGTGCACTTAGTTCATTTTCAAAGTAGTCGTGAATACGTTCAGGACCAAAGTAAGCAGGCTCACCGAAGG